GATTTTTAAAACTGCCGTACTTGTTGAATGTAAAAATCAATCCAAAATCAAAAAAAAAAAATTTAAATCTGATACTTATCGCATATCTTGTTTGTGAAATAGACAGTTTTTTTTTTTTTTTTTTTAAAAATAATAATAAATAAATATATTTCAGTAGATATATATGTGTACATAGCATTTCTCATTTTGGATTTTTACCCGTAGGTATTTCATCCTTCATATTTGTTCTATCAATACAATAATAAGTATTTCAGATATACAAGTTGTGACATAATTCTGTGACAAAAAAGAGGAAAGAAAATTTATTCCCCAAAAAAAATCACTTAGCACTATTTATAATAACACATAATAACTCAAAAAGGAGAAAAACAAAAAAAGATTTATTCACTTTGAGGGAGAATATTTGCGTCGAGCCAAGTTTCAATTGCCGCTATGGGTCGATCAGTATATATTTTGGCATGGCGTGATTGCCATACCAAATATCATCTCTTGTGTATTGGCCGAGGCCCGCGATGTTCATATTAGGATGATCCCCACATTTTAGATAAAAATTCTCAGTGAGCTTTTTTATGTAGTCGAGTATTGTCGGTACGTCAGTCTGTTTGTGTATGTATTTTGAAGAGTAGTAATGTCTAGTCAGTGGGTCCCTTATTTTGTTGAGTACAAGTCGTAGTGTCTTATTTTGTAATGTCTGTAGTTTCCGTAAGTTAGTCTTAGTCGTCGCGTTCCATGCCGGAGCGCCGTATGTCAGTATCGGTCTTATCAGTGTCAAGTAAAGTGTTCGCTTGTTCTTCACGCTTAGCGGGCCGTTGTGGTTCAAGAGAGGTCTCAGTAGATTTAACATCCCGTAAGCCTGTCCAATTTTCGTATTAATATGTTTTGTGAAGCTGAGTCTATGGTCCAGGGTCACACCAAGATATTTGACATCTTTGGACCACTCAACTTCACAGTTTAATACTTTAATTTTGTCTAAGTCAGTCAGTCTAGTCATGGCATTTCGGCTCTTAGTAAATAAAATTGCCTCCGTCTTTTGCGGATTTATCTTGATCTGCCATTTGTCAGTATATTTCGTCAGCTTGTCTATGTGTGTCTGTATCTTTGTAGTCAGTAGCGTCGGTGATCGTGATGATTTGTATATGGCAGTGTCGTCAGCAAACGTCAGTAAGGTGGTGTCGGCGTCAGTGGGTATGTCGTGAATGTAGACGTTAAACAGTGACGGTCCCAGGATCGAGCCCTGCGGTACTCCCGCCGTCACTTGTTTAACCGTCGAAAGTCCGTTGTCTACTTGTACGGTAAAGTTACGGTCTGAGAGGTATGAGTGTAATGTTCTTGTAATGTATGGTGGAAAATTCAGTTGTATGAGTTTATGTATAAGTCCGTCCATCCAGATGGTGTCAAACGCCTTCTCGAAATCAAGCAACACCAATCCGGTATGGTTTCGTCTGTTAAAATTGAGAACAGTATTTTCTATGAGTTTTGTCAGTGGGTGTAGTGTGGAGTGTCGTTCTTTGAAGCCGTATTGTGTGTCAGGTATGATTTTGTTGTGTCTTATGTGTTTGTTAAGTCTTTTGAGTAGTACCTTTTCGGCTACCTTACTCATTGTGTTGAGGAGGCTGATCGGTCTGTAGTTCTGTGGTATGTCTGGCTGTTTCCTTGGCTTCACTATTGGAAATATGGTGGAGGTTTTCCAAGAAGCGGGAAAGCAGCCTTTTGTCATTATTCTATTTATTATCCGGGTAAGTAAAATGTAGGCGTTTGTCGGCAGTTGTTTAAGTATTATGTTTTGTAGTCCGTCCGGTCCCGGTGCTTTTCTGTTCGGTAATTTTTTAACTATTGTCTTTATTTCAGAAACTGTGGCAGGGTCTATTCGTAAGTCTTTGTCCCTGTGGAGGTCAGTGAAGTTTTGAATTGTCTCGTGTACGTCTTGTTTCAGGTCTGCGTTTGACATATTGGCATTTTGTTTATGTATGTTTTCAAAGTTTTTTGCCAATATTTCCGCCTTGTCTGCTGGTGTCGTTGCGTAATTGTTGTCAGTTAATTTGAGTGGAGGTATGGATGTTGGTTTTTGCGTCAGTCTTTTTGCTGTCTGCCAAATTTTGTGTGGGTCAGTATTTATGTTCTCGAGTCTTTTGGTCCAAGTGTTGTTTCGGTGATCACGTATTTCATTGGTAATAATTTTTGTCAGTCTGTTCACATGTTCCTTGAGTAGTCTGTCACCGGTACGTTGCCACAGTTTCTTTATATGATTTTTAAGTTGTATTTTCAATAAAATGTGTTCTGGCAAGTCGTTGGCTGGTGTTGTTCTTGAGTCTAGTGTCGGTATAGTCTGTTGTACGGCGTCTGTGATTGTCAGTGTAAGGTGTGTTACAGCCTCCTCAATGTCAGTGTTGGTATCGATTGGCATAGTGTGTCGTGTGTTGTCTGTGATGATGTCTCTGAAAATTGGCCAGTTGGCTCTGGTGTAATCTAAAAATTTGCGTGTGGGGGTCTGGTCGACGTCTAGTCTGTCTGAAATGGTCATGAAAACTGGATTATGGTCAGAGTTGAAAAGTGTTCTTGTTATGGGTTCGGATGTTACGTGTAGATTTTTTGTCAATGCCAAATCGATCGTACTGTGATGGTGCGTCTGTACGGTGGCGTATCTGGTCGGCGTGTCAGGAAAGTGTAGTTGTGCGTCTGTGGTGTTGTATTCGGTCAGGTATTCGTAAAGTCTGTTTCCGTTTGCGTTGTTGAAGTTACAGTTCCAAGTTGTGTGTTGTGCGTTAAAGTCTCCTGCCATAAGAACAAATCTATTCGAGTCCAGTAGTCTTTGTAAGTCCGTATGTTCTAGTCTGCTTGCCGGGATGTAAATCGATATTATGGTTACTTTTTGACCTCTCTTGTATACATTAATAGCTGTTATTTCAGAACCGCCCGCTGTCAGGTTTGGCACTTGCTCGTGTCTGATGTTAGACTTAATCAAAATCGCAGTGCCGCCCCATCCGCGTGCGTCGGTCTGTCTGTCGTTTCTGTAAACTTTGTAATTGTTGATATAGAGTCTGTCCGTAGGTTTTAGGTGTGTCTCGTTAATCAGTACTATGTCCAGATCGTATTTTGTTATCGTCTGTCTCAGTTCGTCAACGTTGTTTTTAAGTCCATTTGAATTGAAATGCATTATTTGTAAGTCTTGCGATTGGTTTATGGTGATGAAGTAAGAAAGTTCAAAATTGTTGTGTATTTGTCGTTATAAGTCATGTTTGTGTTAAGTGTTTTTGTCAGTTTGTATAGCTCACTGAAAATTTGCTTTACCTGGGGATCCGCAAATAGCTTCCTGATCTCGCCCATAGCAGTAAAGAGTCCTTCCGGAGTGTTGAGGTCTGGATCGGGTTGGCTGCAGGCAGGCCGTGTTGGTGGTTGCGATAGTGCAGGCCGGATCTGTGATGATGCAGGCTGGACCATTGTTCGTGAGGACTGGACCATTGATCTGTATGGTGACGATGGGATAGGGAGTTGAGGATATTCAGGTCGGACGTTAGGACCATTGTTGGTGGAGTTTACAGCTGACGAGAAGCTCCTCGTCAGTGGCACTGGTGTTGGTGCTGGCCTATACGCTTGTCTTCTCCTGAGAGCGTCGCTTTCCTTCTTTTCTTTGTAATTAATAAGAGCGCTGCATTTGGAATAATTTGCCGGGTGTTCGCTTTTGCAATTGACACACATCGGTGCCTCATGTGGTAGTTTTTGGCACGCTCCTGGTGCGTGCACATTGAGGCACTTTATACACCTGTACTTTAGGTCACAGGTGTACGATGTGTGACCAAAGTTCAAACATTTGTGGCACTGCAGCGCTCTATTCTGCGGCCTATAGGCCTCCCAGGAGAAGATATGTCCCCCAATATTTGTAATTCGTTTTAGCTCCGACATATTCTGGTCTTTATCGAGGAGAACAATGTATATAGGTAATTTGTGTTGACCACCATCTGAGGTTTTCCTCTTTATCTGCACTACTTGCCTGGCTTTAATCCCTTTTGACAGGAGATCTTCATGAACCTCCGCCTCTGTAATTGATGGATGTAGACCGGTTATGGTTATTTTCTTCGGCATTTCCTCTTTGATTGTGTAGGTATAAAATTGATAATTGCAGTCCCTTAACATGTCTTTGATTTTTTCGTGTTCTATAGCGGTGTCAGTGAAAATTTTGTGTAGGTTATTATGGAGGTATTGATATTTAAAATTAATTTTAGATGTTTCTCTTAGATATTTAATTGCTTTTAAATCTATTTGACCTTTTATGATAATCGGTGGGATTTTTGCCTCTTTCGTGGTGGTGTTTTTGGGTGTCACGGTTTGGACGCCTGAGGTAGTTGGTTCCGACCTAGTAATGGTTTTCTCAGGCTCCTTGTTCTTTTTCGCCCTCTTTCGGCGTGTTACTTTCCTGTAGTCCTCACTCTCCCTATCAGTATCCATATCTGTACGGTCCGTGAGCGCATCATATTTATTTTTTAGTGCAGTACTTGTCTGCACGTCCATCTTCTGATTTATGTTCGACATCTTGAATTTTTTCCCAGGCCCCTGCCCGGGAATTATTCTGTTTCCTGAAGAGTTTTGCGCACTGATTTTAAAATTTATTAAAAATGATATAAAAAGACTTCACAATTTTGAAAAAGAAAAAGCACTTGCTAATGGGTGCTTACTTCCTCCCCATTAGCAACCCCAATCCGGGGTTTGGGAAGAAAAGTATGCAAAAGGCACGTTCACCTTTAAAATTTTGACAGATATAATAATATATATCCAACTTGTAAGTATTAAGCCCGGTGCCTTTAAAAAGGCAAGATTTAGAATCAATTCCGGACTTAATACTTATTTCACAAAAACACTGACACTTCACTGAAAAACAAATGACAATCTCACATCTGTTTTGTTTCGTGCTTAGACAGTTTTCTTAACGCAGAACACCATTAGTTATTTTTGTATCGTATCGCAAAGAAATGAGAATTTTGTTAATAAATATATTAATTGTTTAGATTTTTCATCAAAAGTGTGCTACAAGAATGGCACCTGGCATTCGGATACTGACTACAGCACGTGCTCAGTGAAGCCGCGTCTCGTTTCGCGCACCACTTTCCACGTGGCTACGCTGGCATTGTCGATTGTGGCGTGCACACCCGCAATCGCTATATTCCTACTCTACAAAAAGCTCAGAGTGGCAAGAGTCGCCCAGCACAGGAACCTCCTGATAGCGATCGTTCTCAGAAATGCATTGGTCATCATTTTCAAGCAAACGGTGAGTGGATAGTAGGAGGTAGTGTCACTAGTTCCTTTGATTTCGAACTCAAATCATGCTCGTGTGTTTGCAATCTTATGTATGGCTTTATGTGGATTATATTTAGCAGCATTCTTGTTGTGAAGTGAACCATTTCAACTCCTTGTACTTTTAGGTTGGCCTACCCGAATAACTATAAGACTATATTTAAACTAACTATATTTTGATACTTGCTCAATTTTAAAAAGCATTTGGGGTTTATAAACCTACTCCCGCACTCTACAGATAAACGCGCTAAGAATTTCGCCGAGAAAGTTTTACCGTCATACGCTCTTATGTTTTTTGTCATCGAATTTTCACGAGAACAGTATAAGTAAATATGCAATATATTATATGGACATATAATCTTTTATATGCAAAGCGATTTTTGCCGATTGTTTACATTTTGTTTTCGTGGGATGCATATGCAAAAAAGGCGTTTGTAGATAGAAGTGGGCTACTATTTGTGGACAGACATGGGCCACTTGCGCAATGCCATTCTTTGTACAGTAAATTGTTTTTATCAATTAATAGAACATCTTATTTACTTATTTTTATATCTTCAGTCACAAAGCCTCCTAAAAAACAGAAATGTCCCAAAAAAGTTGTGGATTATGAAAAATTGATTATTGCTTGCTTAGTGGTTGATTATAAAAAATTGATTATCGCTGAAATTGATATCGAAGCGTGTTGTTTCTACTGTTATCAACCTTAGCAGATTGTCTTTTCAACGCATCAATACATCCCCTAAAAACAGAGAAGTCGCGGCAGAAGCAGCACAGGGTTCATCCAAACACAATTGCAACCATCTGCTATGATAAAAAGATGCGTTTTCAAATACCCTTGCAACTAAAAAAAATTAAGAAAATATTTTTATTTTTAACCATTTTACAACCAAAAATAAAAACGTGGCCCACTTTTGTCCACCGCACCTCACTATACATACATTTCAAATTAAAAATAATACATGTCAGTCTGCCCATAGACATTTTCAAGGTGTGAAGGCACCACAAATCAACGATTACCTTTCCCTACCTGGTTTATTATCCTTTTTACCATTTTTACCATTTACCACTGTTTGTTTATACACTTTTATGTATTTTTCTTTTCATACTTATGCATCTATGCTTCCTGGCTCCTGTGCTTTGTTTTTCAGTTCCCTGTACTTTTTTCCTGGCCTAATCATCAATCTTCTGCATTCTTCTTCTTCCCAATCGTTTAATCCTTCTATTTTACATTTGACTACATCATGTAGTAGGCTCTTTTTTCAGAATAAGTCCGATTCAGTTTCCTTTCTTCTCAGTAAAGTTCTTTCCTCGTCCACTCTTCTCAGCACATCTTCATTTGTTACCTTAATTATCTACATTATCTTCTTCATTCGCCTCCAGCACCACACTTCAAAACTCTAGTTTTTGTTTCCACTTTTAAAATAACACTACAAAATGTTAACACCAAACAAATATTTTCATAAATATTCTTGTTTATTATATATAGATACTGCGGCGCTAAATTGCTTAATTCATCCAAGAGTGTAAACAAATCGTTGGGTGTTATTAGATTAAAAATCTTAAGTATCAATATTGTGAAGGTTCATGTTATTCAGTTTCATGTTTGTCACTATGATAAATTTTGTCATGTGCTGAGCTTGATTTTTTTCATTTTCAATGTATTTGAATCAATTTCAGAATTTGAGGTTATTGTAAACGATTCGTAAAGTTATCTATGTAAATCATAAAGATTGCAATGCTATTGTGCGTTTTATTCAATTGGTTGAATTACCTTAGTTAATGAAGACTCATTAACCCAGCGATTTCCAACCTGTGGGGCGCGCCCCCCTGGGGGGGCGCGGTGCCGTCCCGAGGGGGGCGCGAAGCTCTTTCAAAAATTTGTTTTTAAATGCTGAGTAAGTGTCAAAAACAAATCAGCAGAATACATGCAAGTAATCCACAATTTTCGCTGCAATTTTGTCAGGACAAATGTAACAGCATGAATATACTACACTTTTGAACTGTGTTGGACTTTGCACTGATGGAGCTCCATCTATGGCAGGAAGAAATGCTGGTCTGCAGGCCCTAGTTCGAAAAGTGGCTCCTCGTGCAGTTTGGACGCATTGTATGATTCATAGGCAATCTCTTGTTGCAAGTGATATGGGTAAAGAATTACTTGAAGTATTTGAAATTATAATAAAAGTTGTTAATTTTATCAAAAATAGTCCATTAAGAGAAAGGCTTTTTGGAAAATTGTGTGATGACATGGGCTCAGAATACTTTATTATTGTGAAGCACGTTGGCTTTCCCGTGCTAAAGTACTTCAAAGGGTGTTTGAGCTCAAAAAAGAAAATGCCATTTTTCTTGCTGATAATAAAAGAGATGAAGCAGACATATTTTATGACACGAAGTTTCTCGAGAAATTTGCTTATCTAGTTGACATTTTTAAAAGACTAAGTGATTTAAATAAATCAACGCAAGGATCTCAAATTCATGCTTTTGTTCAAAAGGACAAGATTACGGCGTTTATGAAAAAAGTAGAACTGTGGATAGCTAGTATGAAAAGTAATAACTTTGATATGTTTCCCTCTTTTAAAACTACATCTGTTACTGATGAAATAGAAGCAAGTAAAGATCTTATTATCAATCATATGACTAGTCGAAGGAACCAATTTGCGCATTACTTCAAAGATCTAGATATGTCCAAATACGGATGGATTAGAAATCCATTTGTTATTGATAAATATGATGATTTTGGTCTTCCAACGGCAGAGCAGGAAATGATAATTGATTGAAGCAGATGTTTCAGGACGAAAAGAATATAGTTAAGTTTTGGTTACAAGTAAAGGGCGATTTTCCAACTTTGACAAATAAAGCTTTAGAAATTTTATTACCATTTGTGACATCCTACTTATGTGAAACTGGTTTTTCTGCAGTAGCAGTATTAAAAACAAAGCACCGATCTCGTTTAGTGATAGAAAAGGAATCGAGAACAGCGATTTCTACAATGGAGCCGCGGTTGGAGAAAATTTGTGCTAAAAAACAAGCTCAACCGTCGCATTAATTTTTTAATATTGTGTGAAATATTATATATATATTATATATATATATATATATATATATATATTATATTTGTTTTTATTAAATTCAAATTTATTTTTTCTTATAATCAATAGTTATGTTTGTATGTATATGTTTGTATGTATATTTTTGTATGTATATTTTTGTATGTTTATTTTTGTATGTATGTATATTGTGCATTATTTGGTACGAGATTGAATAAATCATAATTTCAATTAAGTATATTTAAATTAAATTGTTAAAAAAATTAGGGGGGGCGCAATATTTTTTTCTTTCAAAAGGGGGGCGCAAGGAAAAAAAGGTTGGAAACCGCTGCATTAACCTATGTCTTTGCTACAATACGTTTTTGTCCTATATCAAACCTACTTTTTTCATTATCCACGTTCAATTTAAATTCTTGAATTTTAGATCAACAACAAATATATATATATATATATATATATATATATATATATATATATATTAATTTACAAATTTAATAGCAATCAGAATCTTATTATTCTATAAACTATTGACTATCAAAACTGATTTTGCAAATGTGGCTTGTTTAAGAAACTCTCCAATGAGAACCCTTATTACTTATAGTAAATCTATAGGTTGTTTTTTCTTTAATCTATTCTCAATTAAATTGAAATAGCACTATGAAATCTTGCTTTGGTTGAAATTGACATAATTTCAATAATACTGCTATATATATGTATAATATTACACGTGTGCAATTTTCATTGAGAGATATTTTTAGAAATTGAGTGTGCCAATTTCTATGAGCATCACCTGGCAAAAGTGATAAACGTAAAAGAATATCGCTTTCATTAAAAATGCTTTATCCATTTTATTGTCTATATCAGGGGTCGGCAAGCTTTTAACTGTAGTGTGCCAAGCCACTCTACCAATATGTTTTAAAGTGCCGCCTTAATTTTGAAATATATAGTTAGGTTTTAGGGGAGAAGAATTATAACCAAATTTATCTTTTAAACATATTTATTAACAAATAACATGAATATCTAATATAAACTGTGTCCGATTACCCCAAAGGCCCGTGAGACCCGGGCCTAGGGCGACATAATTTAGGGGGCGGCAAATTTTTCAAAATGTAAAACTTTTAAACTCGATGAAATGACACGACAATTCATTTTAAGGATAGATCCTGAAATTTTTTTGTTGTAAATTTAGAGATCATTTTCGATGAAATAGAACGTAATGCGTTTTCCAATCAAATTTATTATTCGTGGGTGCCGCATTGATATTTTCTTGATGTATCATATTATCAACTTCAGGAAGGCTAAGTTATAATAATCCTAAAAAATCGTAAATCAAATTGGTTATATATCTCTACGCTTCAAGTTCTCCTGAACATTTGACATGCCTTAGATAAAATGGATGTATGCAGGTGTTTATGCGGTTACAATTTTTTGCCCATTGGCATTCGGAAAGACGTGCTGATTAGTTTTTTGCAAAGACAGTTTCGGAATAGGGAGCAAAGAGTTAAAAATATGCTAATTCAATTTTTCAAAAACGAAGCGTCCGATTTGAATAATTCAAGACACTTTTTACTTGTATGACGAAATAAGAACTATCGAAAATTTTGCGAGAGCATGATCAGCGTTTTTGGTGATCCAAAAAGGTGTCATTTGGTGATAAAAAATGATCATTGACATCAAATTATTAGATTTTTTATAAAAAAAATTATTAATTATTACAAATTTTGTCTTCATTATTTTGAATCATTCCGTACCAATATTTTTAATTTTCAAAGTTTATTTCTTAGATAGTTTAAATGTCCTTTGCAAGGATCAATGGCCATGATTGATTCAAAAAATATTCGCTTGGCTTTGACTGAGAGGCATACTGTTTATGCAGGCAGGTTTAGCATTTTTGGAGATACAGAGCGCAGAAGGTGCAAAAGTGATCATGAAGGTTTTGAGAGTACAGATCATTCGATTGGAATGACTCAAAAAATATTTTGTACGTGGTATTTTAGTGATATGAAGAAATGATTAGTTTTCCGAAAAGGCAAGCCCGCTGGTTTCAAAATTTTGAGAAAATTAAAATATCTAAAATTTTCAAATAATCGAATTATTTTAGAATTTAAAAAAAAGCGAAATTTTTGAATATCTCGGTAGAAAATTAAATTTTGATTTATCACATCACAAAAGCGCCTTTTAACACAAATTTTGACTATGAAGTTTTATCAAACTTTGATGAATTTTTAAAATTGTCAAATATTTTGACTCCTAATTGATATTTTCCAGAAATCTTTTTTCAATTTTAAAAATCGGTTTCTGGCTTTATTCCAAAAACGTAATATTTTTGCTTTTTTATTCTAATTTCAAACAACCGGCTCGTCCGATCGTCCCGCAAACCTAATAAGTCCGGCAGGTTTTTACCAAAAACTAATGAATACGATTTCCAACCAAGATTTTTCGAATGATTTTTCGATTTTTAAAATCGACTTAAAATCGTGGGCTAAAACTTTGACGAATTTTTTCTCGCTTTTACTAATGCCTGCCTTCCCAAAAATTTAGGTAATTATTCATTCCTTTAGCACAAGTCTCGGTTAGTAGAACCCTCGGTTCTTTCAAAAACTGAATTGCAATTTTTGCACTTTTGTTCTGTATTTTCCAAACGGCTAAACCTGTCTTAGCGAAAAACTAATCAGAACTTTCTTATCTATGAGAATGAGACATACACACACATCAATTTTCTTTAAGGTATGCCAAAATATTTAGAAATGTCTGAAACGTAAAAATATGCAAAAATTTTCATTTTCGATCTTTTGCGATTACTATAACTTACGAGTACTTTACGCAAAGTTAAAAGTTGTATTTAAGTAATTTAGAACAAAATTATAGTTTAATTAAAAAAGTAAAAAATTGTCTATTAAAAAGGGCGCCTGATCAGATAATAGGGCCTAGGGCGGCAGAAAGCTTAATGCGCCACTGAATATAAACTAAACAACTTTAATGTGAACCTTGTGCCTACACCTTTTTCCTTAACATTTCAATATCCGGGGTATAATTTGTAACTTTTAATTTCACACAAGATACTGAATGTTTAGTTGTTAAAGGATTTCTTTGTGAACTCAAAATATGTTTCATGTGAGAAAAAATTTGTTCACAGAGATATGTGGAACCAAAAGCTGAAAGGAGAGCGCATACAATTTTTTTTATACAATTAAATCTTTTCCGGCAATGTCATTCAACAATTTAATATGGCTGTCGATTTTTCCATAGAGTCATCTTCCAGATTTATTTGTAATTCCTTCAAAATATAGGCACATAAGCTTCAAAGTCTTTGCATCTTCTGGAAAATTCATCTTTAAGTACTTCAACGTAAGTTGAATTACATACATTAGCGAGCTACGTTAATTAAAAATAATTATAATTAAACATTTTCTCTTATTTAAAAATCGCTCAATATTTGCGATTTTCCTGATTACTTTATAGAGTGCCATTCAGAACCCCATCGCGTGCCAAGCCTGGCACGCGTGCCGTAGGTTGCCAATGCCTGGTCTATATTATAGGGGCTGTGCATCTCACTCAAGTCCCTGGTTCAAACTCGCGTTTCGATCTAAAATCAAATCAGTAGTGATATACGTTTTCACTTTAAAATGCAGAGTGAAAATATGTTTTCAAGTGAATGCCTTTTCCAAGCATTGCTATAACATACGAGTACATACGAGTATACAGTCCTCGTATATCACATCACTGTCAGGCATTTTATACATATGTGCATATGTGCTAATTGAATGTATGAACATATGTGTAAAATTGAATCAACGCGCGTAAGTTATCTGTTATGGTATATGGAAGCAGCGATAACATTTGAAAATATTCGAGGTCTCTGCTATTACGTGTGCTATTGCAAATATTGGGCAATCATAAAATGTTTTTGTGATTCGCAAATGCTAATGCTTATCTGAATATTATTATTGCAAAGACTGGAGTTAATTAAAGTGAAATTATGAAACAGTACATAATCATTATTGGGATTAAAAAATATAACACACGCATACTGTTGCATATAACTAGTAGTACATACAATCGAACACACGCACACATTATATATATATATATATATATACTCGTATATATATATATATATATATATACTCGTATATATATATATATATATATATGTATATATATATATATATATATATATATTATAACTTATGGCAGAGCACAACGGTTCAATTTAACTTTGAGCAATTATATTATGAAAATCAAACCAATTATATCATAACAAATAACACATACGAAACAAACAACTATCTGATATATTCAATAAAACTCCCAGCTAATTTGTCAATGTAGAAATGTATTTTTTTCTATTTTTCAAAAATTTGTCACCTGGTATTTTTCACCTAATAGACGGCGTAAAATGGGACAGCCAGGGACAAACAGGTCCAATGTCTTATTTTCAATCTTAAAAAGATTTTTACAAAGCAATAGGTACGTTATTTCTCCAAAAAGATATTAGGATCGTTCAAGTATTACGTAAGCAGATTGATTACAATTATTTACCCCTCTCATCCCCCGTGTCAGCAAAAGTAAACAAAGCTCTTACCCCAAATCTATGAATTTATCTTTTGTAAAATTATTTTTTTTACCTTAATTTACTTTATTATTTACTAATTTTATATTGTTTATACCTTTGTCAGGGTAAAGATTCAGTTGGTCCTTTTTATCCCACACACGTATTAGCTTTTATAGAAGTTATATAAAAATAGCTGTTCAATTTAACTTGGAATTAACAATACATCTTATAAAACAATTAAATAACGTATACTTAAAAATTATATAGAGGTCTCGTAAACTAAACAATAGTGTGCACAACCAAAAAACTGACAACGAAAGCAAATACATTTGTTATGAATTTTCAAACTATGCCGTTTCTTTCACAATGTCGTAAGAATCAAGATGATGGCTGGTTATACATCTTTTTCCCTCTACTTTGAAACATCGTTTCAACTTTACTTGTTTTTGAGATATCGGTGGAGGACCTTTTACCCGCGCTCTACCATATTAAAAATGATTATTATTTTAAATGATTAAAAGCATTAGTTATTCTAATATTTGTATGTGTAATGAGCGGAAAATTTCAGCAGTTTGCCCAAACTAAGCTCGCTATTAATTTATTTTTTATTAAACTCTTGAAAACTTTATCACAAATATATGTAGTAGAGATGGGTAACTCACCGCGGAGTTATCACTCCGATACAACTTCTCCCTCGGTGTGGATCCGAGTGGAATTGTCTCACAGGATTTGTCATATCCGACTTCCCTAAACTGGTACTAAATCCGTTAACATGTGCAGATATTTGCTTGAGATTTTTTACTAATACAAAGATTTGGGTCGAAAGAAGTGGTCTTTTTCTCGTCTCACAGCCAGTTTTAGGACTTTCCAGGTATATAATGTCTTAAAATAATGCTATGTTGTATTATTCTGTATACGATAATGTTTGTCCGTAAATGAGTTTTTTCAATGGTATACAACCAGCAAAAACATTTTAGTATTATATTATAACTTTTACAGAATTATGATTTTATAATTGTGTAAAAGTAATAGTATGCTAATAAAACGGAAACAGAAAAGGAAATAATAAAAGAATGTGAGGTATTATTATTTTGTGAAAAATATTATACACAATATTTGTTCTTATTTCATATATAAGGTTCACTGCATTATATTCATATAAAAATTAACATATTCAAAAAATTCTATATTTTCTCTTTAAAAATAATTACAAAATTGATTTTGATTCCTAAGTTTTTTGTCCCAGATATATTTGAACTATTTGTAAACTATTTCCAAAGTCTTAATAAATACTTAGATATGTTAACAACACACTAGAGAACACATTTGTGTCAAGTATTATGTTACAAAGCTGTCGGAGTTGTGGAGTTATTAAGTGGATATAACTCCTCTCTGAAGCAGAGTCAAATCCTAACCGATCCGGCTTCGGACATGATAAGCCCATCTCTACACATGCTTAAATCATCTAAATTTCTTTTCAAAATTGCGCGAAAATGCTTCGAAGCATTGTTAACAATTGACTATTATTTCATTCTAGGTAGTGATGGATGAGTTAAACGCCGGCACCGTGATGTCCACAAATGATTGGCCTTGCAAAATGCTGTCGGTGTTGGAACGCCTTTCGGCCAATGCAGTATTCGCATGCATGCTCATGGACGGAATATTTCTCCATAGGCTGATCGCAATGGTGTCCAGTAAAATACCCGACATGAAATGGTACTACGCGGCCGGTGCTGGTTAGTAACAAATACTTATCACCAAATTGTGAAAAAAATAGATTGATCGATTTACAGATTAAGAGCAAGTATGCAACGCTTGTATAAGCAGCCTAAATCAAAGTAATATAACCAAACTTCATTTTTTGTATTTTGAGTTCATAAAATTTGCCTATAATTATATTTGTGTAACATAATGAATTGAAATTGCAATGCGAAGAATAGTCACGTTGTAAAATAACATGAGTAGAATCAAATTCCTTTGTCTCGCTACTTTTATTTCATATTATTATTCGGCACGTATGTTATTTCTGGTACGGGTAATATCAAACTATGGGTTCAACGTATGTGACGACTGAAACACAAATTACAATAAATATATATATATATATATATATATATATATATATCTGTGTGTGTTACTGAACCCAGTTGTATTTCGAACATACCGCATAAAGGGTTCGTATAATAGTTAATGAAACCAAATAAAACTAGTGGTGTATGGCATCGTGCCTTAAGACAAATTGTTGGAACTTTCCGTACCATAATGATATATTCGAGGAATCTCAAATGTTTCCGAATAGATTATTATAAATATTGTAACTTTTATTATCCATATTTTATAGACAAAATATAAAAACTTATAAATTGGACGTTTATATATGTTTACATGAAACGTAAATGAATAAAACTTAATCAATCGGATTTAAAATGAAGGACCTTGTCTAATATTAATAAGAATTATATAAACTGAATTGCAAAGTTAAAATTGTAGTATATAAATGAGCTTTAAAGCTTTAGCTAGAATTAAAACTAAAATTCGAATTATTTTCGATATTCAAACAAAAACTATTTTTTAGAAATTGAAAAGAAAAATAAATTTTGAAATTAAAAAAATTTTACCCCAAAAAATATTTACATCAACACAAGCAGAAAGTTTTTTGAATCATTCAAATCGGATGCGTAGTTCTCTCAAAAACTGCCAATTTTTTGCACATTTAGCTTTGTATTTCCGAAACGGCTGGACCTGTCTTTGCCAAAAAAAACTAATCTGCACATCTCCCTATCGATAGGAATTGAATGTTTTTTGATCATTCAAATCGAATGCTCCATTCTCTCAAAAATTCCATTTCTTTATTCTGCACTCTTTGCTCCGTATGCCCAAAACGGCTGGATCTGTCTTTGCCAAAAAAAAACTAACTAGCTGTAAGTGGAATTCTGTCTTAAGGCAATTAGGGCATCGTGCCTTAAGGCAAATTGCTGGAACTTCCCGTACCAAAAATTTTTATTTTTTTTAAAAACGATTAACATTTTTGAAAAAAAATTACTTTGAAAAAATAAGATTTTTGAGAAACTATAAATTGGACAGAAAATTAGTTTTTTTTGAAAAAAAAAATTTTTAAAAAAAAATTTTTTTCAAAAAAAAAAAATTTTTTTTTTGAAAAAAAAATTTTTTTTCTTTATTTTGACATATTGTGGAAGATCTGAACTTTTTTTTCAAAGCAATCGTACTGCTTTAACTACATAGGGACAAAATATAAAGCGCGTAAGCGCCGCGTCGCTGTCTAACGCATAAGCATTGGTACGGAACCCATAGGAATGTTAACAAAATGTATACTTATTGTTAAAATCTCTATAAAATATCTGATAATTTGATGTGCATATGTCTAATGATCATTTTTGACCGCCAAATGGCTCATTTTTTTACTTTTTTCTCTATATCTCCGAAACCGCTGGACCTACCTTTATGAAAGTTGTATCGATTCTTCATCTTGTCAATACAAATAAAATGTTTTTTGAATTATTCAAATCGGACGCTCCGTTCTCTTAAAAACTGAGTTACCGTTTTCGGAACTTTTTGCCCCGTATCTTCGGAACGGCTTGACCTGCCTTTGCCAAAAACTAATCAGCACGTCTCCTTATCAATACGGATCGAATGTTTTTTGAATTATTCAAATCGGTTGATCCGTGTTCCCGAAATCGTCGACGAAAATTTGTATCCGCACATACATACACACACATACATACATACACACACATACACACACATACACACACACACACACACACACACACACACATACATCCATTTTTTCTAAGGTATGCCAAAATGTTCAGAAACCTCTGAAACGTAAAGATATATAAAAATTTTCATTTTCGATTTTTTTGCGATTACTATAACTTACCCTACGGGAAGTTAATAATCAGCACATATCCCTATCAAAAGGAATCGAATGTTTTTTTAATCATATTCAAATCGGTTGATCCGTGCGCCTGAAAACGTGGACGAAAAATTTTATACATACATACATACATACACACATACACACACAAACCGACATACACATTCATTGTTTTTAAGGTATGCCAAAATGTTCAGAAACCTTCAAAACGTGAAGATATACAAAAATTTTCAATTTCGATATTTGGACGATTACAATAACTTACCCCACGGGAAGTTAAAAAAAAAGTATCAAAACTTATACAATTTATGGGAACAGATAAACAGGTACATTGAAAAATAATTGGATGTTTTTCAAGAATTAATAAACTTAACGATGGTATTAAAATGAATATATCAAAATGTTAATAACAAAAATGTTAGTGGTTTTAAAATTGTTAATCGTATTAAATACAATACTGTACTCTTCTAACAAACCTCCAACAAAAATAAAAATGATTAAGTGCATCCACCTTCAATCCCACAATCCAAGACAAGACATGAGATAAAAATGATCACATGCACCACTCGTGCCCTTTTATCGTTCAGTGTATCATATAACTGACTGACTCAACTAAAACTTCTTTGACACACAAGTCGTATACATTTAGTAATCTTATAACGGCGTCATAATACCAGAGCTCTTGTTTCACAAACGTCGAATATTTTTTACCTTCGAGTCTTATTTCCTTTTCAAGAAAACAATCATTATTTCCGAGGTTCAATTGTTTTATTTTGAGTAGTTGATATCGATACTACGCTGTGGGAGACCATAATTTATATTTTGTTGTTATTGTTTGCTACAGAGTGAAATAAAATTCCGTCATATCTAATTTTATAATAGACCATTAGCGCTATGGGAAATCAGCTCGCTTGTTATAACATATAATTACACGATATATGTATATATATATTACATAAAGTCACTGGTCACACACTGATTTGATATATTAAGAATTTTATATCAATATCAATTTTGTTTTAGTTAACTCGTCTGTTATGAGACACCGTGAGACAAAAATGATAATTATATAAGTTCCATCCAAGTATTCTGATTTATAATGTTTTTTTTGATTTGAACAACGCATATCAGTAACGGAACATAATTAGGTGAAAAGTTTCCCAAGCCCAAAAATTCGATTCGCTAAGCTCATGTTTTCTCGACGTTTCAAGTAATTCTGAATCGAATGAGACCAAATTTGGAGAAAGTATACGGCGTGTGTGTATGTTGAGCCGATTTTTGTTATTTGTTTTCTCAAAAACGACTGGACCAAATTCACAAATTTAAAAGACATTGGAATAAACTCGATAAGGAGAAGCCTCAATTAGGTTTGCGAGCAATTTCTTTCAACTAGCAAAAATGGAATGTTTTTAACAGTTTTTGCAAAAATCTTACTATCTTAAGTTTATGGATTTGTATTGTTCACAGAAATTGAATAATAATTATCCAAATAGGTTCTTTGAGCACAACTTCGCTTGCTGTGTAAAAATGTTAACATTAATTTAAATTATTAAACAATATCAACAATTACGTACATGAACGAAATCGTGCAAGTATTTTCTTATAGTAGATGCTTAATATTTTACAACATAATTTAAGTTTCTTAAAAAAGACGTTTCTAATGATCATGGAAATAAAATTCACGTACTAAACAGTCCTACGAAAATTAGTTAAATTATATAAATTCTTTAAAATTTGGATTAATAAGCTGCGAATAAGAACATACGAGCTCTATAATTAATGCAATTACTGCAAATTTGTTTGAGAGATGTTAATTGGAAATCCCAATGTTCAGATATAAGTGAAAACGAAAACTTTATTTATGAATAAACAGATGAAAATTTTATCTAAGTATCTAGATCTCAATTTCGGCTGATTAGGTCAATTACTACACATATCGGGAAGTTTTTTTAACTTGTCTTAAAGGGAAATGCCACTTTCAACTAGTTCTTAATTGAAATAAATAAGTATATTAAAAATGAATCTCTCTCATAATTATGTAGATTATGTTAAACTGCCGATACTTTTGTACCATATTATCTTATATCGTATATGAGTGAATCGTTATATTTCACACTCGCAAAATTGTAGATTCTGTACTTATAATATATTACTTAATATGTTATGTATACATATACAGGGTGTCCCAGAACTCAACGTCAAGTCAAAACTGGATGATAGTAGTATAGATCGTAACTATCATGAAAAAAAATTAAAAAAACTAATTTATTTCACGTATTTTGAAAATTATGAGCTTTTAAGTAAAGTCTAGAGCTTTGGTCAAACTGTGTTCATTTTTTGTTATTGTGGATAGTTTCTATTATTTTTATTTATATAAACCTTGGGACTGTAGACATAAATAACATTTCTAGGACCACAGTCAAAAATAATGACATAATAGTTCAAAATTTTCTACAAAGACTATTTGTTGAACTATGAGTTCAAAATTTTCATAAAATGTTCAATGTCTCCATAAAAAGTTTGCGCATTTAATCAGTATTGCAGAATGGTAAAATACTCGATAGTCTCAAAATAAAAAAAATAGAGTAAAAAATTAAAAACCTAAAAATAACACGATTGTTGCTAGTGCAATTCGCTCACAATCAGTTCAAATGATTGTTGTACGCGCATGCACGTAAATGCACGTAAATTACATGAAATATTTTGGTATTTTTAACTTCCCGCAGGGTAGTTATAGTAATGGGCCTAAAATTGAAAATGAAAATTTTTTCATTTCTCGACGTTTTGAAAGTTTCTAAATATTTTGGCATACCTCGGAAAAAATGGATATGCGTGTGTGTTTTGTGTGTTTGCATTTTCTCGTTCACGTTTTCGGGCGCACGGATCAACCGATTCGAATGGTTCAAAAAACATTCGATTCCTATTGACAGGGAGATGTGCTGATAAGTACAAAAAATGGAAATCGAGATTTTGAGAGAACGGAGCATCCGATTTGAATGATCTGAAAAACATTCAATTAGTAATGGTTGGGGGAAGTAATTACTAGTTTTTGGCAAAGGCAGGCCCAACCATTTCAAAAATACAGAGCTAATGTATAAACAACGGCAGTTTTTGAGAGAAATAAGCGTCCGAATTGAATAATCCAAAAAACTTTCTGCTTATGTTGACATAGCAATTGCTTTTAGAAAAAGAAAATTCATTTAATTTTTTTTTGTATATCGCAAATAATTCAGATTTTAATTTTAGTTCTGACTAAAGTTCTAATATTAAGCTGTCAAATATCTCCCTTCCGCTTTTTTGCTCTTGGTTTATAATACAAAAAGGCGGAATGGAGATATTTGACAACCTATTATATTTTAAACAAATAATTCCAACTTTGCAATTCAGTTTATATAATAAATAAATAATAAATATTAATCAATGTTACAATATTTATAATAATCTATTTGAAAACATTTAATATTCCTCGAACATTTCGTTACGGTACGGGAAGTTCCAGCAATTTGCCTTAAGGCACGATGCCTTACACCACTAGTTTCTTTTTTGTTACAATAAATATTATCCCCCCGTTTCGGCTTGATGTTGAGTTCTGGAACATCCTTTATTAATATATTAGCAAATGTTTTCTATATCATGACTCGAAATGCTTTTATCAATTAATTCGCAGTGTTGTCGGTGGCACCTGCCCTGATTTGGGCCGGCCTGATGTCTGCGAACGATGGCCTGCACTGTTGGGCCGTAGACGATGCTGACGACGGTTTCCAGTGGACGAACGATGCCACGCGTTTGCTCATGCTGATTGTCAACACGATACTCATGTTTCACATCGTGTGGGTTCTTATCACGAAAGTCAAAAGTCGAACTGACGGAGAAAAAGTAAAGTAGGTAAAAATAATCATTTCGAAGAATCAAATAGTAATTAACTGGAATTATATTCGTCTCTCTGATTGTCGATCTCTATGCTTGATTTTATTTCAAAATATATTGAATTAACCAGTTAGCCGTGGCGCACAGTTTTGTGTTGTCCGAACCAAGTGCATGACAAGTATATTCGTCAATTACAGAGTTGTGCTCGAAGTTATCGGATGAAAAATATGGGTTTAATTTACAAAATTTAATTCAATAGAAAAAAATTAATAACTACATTTTACTTCTTCATTAATATAAGTTTATTATCAGTGGTGTTGTGCTAATATTTTTTTACCGGAACGCTAAAATTAAAAGACCGGTTCTGGTATTTATTTTGGTACGGTCCATGTTTCAGTTCGACAGAAGAAAAAAACATTTCGGACGAAAAAACAAGTCGGTTCGTTCCGGTTTGGGTTCGGTTCAAACCCTTGTTTATAATAATACATATAAATTTCGTCAGAAGTTAGTGAAAAAATCAGCCTGTTTTTCATTTTTTTTCAATACGTCAGCCGGTTCTTCTTATCAGACTTCTTCTACATTTCTGAAATATGTTCCTGTCCAAAACAAACAGATACAAATCTTCACGTTTGTCGCAATTTTTTAGCCTCACTATAATATACTCAAAAAGTTTAAAACATATACCAAAATTAAAAACCAATATTTGTGAATTTTAGTTCACAACAAATGTATAATAAAAATTATTAGCAATAGCCGTAGGCCTATTTAGTTATGGCAGTAAATTATGCCAAGGATAAGTAACGTACGGTTCGTGGGCTACTTGCATTTCGCCAAACATTTGAGAAAAAAAGTCTAGTAATTCTTTTCATTTTTTTGCCAGAACGCGTTCCGGCTCTAAAAGGATTTACCGGAACGCGTTTCAGCCCAAAAAGAATTGATCGGAACGACGTTCCGGGGCCTTCTGACTCGACAACACCACTGTATTGTATATATTACATACATATTAAAAAAAAAACGTAAAAAATTCAATAAATACAAACACATACTATAAGTTCATGTAAAAGGTATCAATTGGAAATCGCATTGACTAGTTTTTGGTTGTGTTTGGTTCGCTTGGTTTTGATGAATATATATAAAAAAAAAAAATTAGAATAAACAGTTTAAATGTTAATTAATGCTTAGCTAAATTCTAATTCTTATTGACTAATTATATTATTTACATATTTTGGGAAGTTCTGGCAACTACAAGTTACAGCCACTGATTTTATACAGTCTTAGCCTCGAGATATTCTAAACATCTTATTGTTAGCATTTCGGAACATATTTAGTTTTTTTTCAAAAATTGCAATTTAAATTATTTAATTCTCCATCACGAGTATATTCGTCAATCAAAGTTTCGTAATTTTCTTTTTGAATAATAATATTTCAGTATTTGAATAATATTAAGAATTATCACCATAAAAAGTTCTGCTCTATAAGTCATTATGAATAAGCTTTTGCCATCATAGTTCAAACATCAATGAAAGGAATATGATCCCTTCTGATTCCTACCGACGCAAAAATATTCCCAAAACAAAATTCGGCTCAATTCTGAATTTACCAATAATGCGTTGATAGATATTTTAATCACACGTGTACTAAATAAAATTTGATAAACAACTTAGCAATTACAAAATTAAAATTATTATAAAATATACTATAAAAGAACCTCTAAAATAATCAAACCTCGTTTCTTTAACGTTTTTGTATTGTCTTTCTATACGAGTAAAGTGAAGAGATATAAATGCGCCTAATTAAACCACATCAAATATAATTTTTCGTTATATGTAAATATTTTTGATATTTATTGGTAATAGTAACCTATTGTTCTACTTGTCCAGTACATACGCTATATTACTCATTGGTAACATGAAAAAATATTCCAAAAAAGTAAATTTATTACTCGAAACCAATAACATTCAGATGTCGATTCCGATTCCTATTTGCTGAATGATTGATAAAGTATTGGAAGTCGTTTGAAGTTATATGATTAAAAGTTACAGTTAGATTTGCATAACCAAAAGACTCGAGATAAGTTTAAATCTTGATTGAACTTAGCTAATCACTCAATTAATTTTCATCTTTTGGGTATACATAAACTATGATGATCAAAAGAATACTTTCAGCAAATGAAATATATGTTCAGTTGAAGTGAAGTATTTATCATTGAATTTTTTTTGCAGAAGAACAGCGAGAATAACTCTGTACATGATGCCCCTGTTCGGACTACCATTTCTTCTGACTATGGCGAGACCAGATACGGATTCCTGCACATGGGAACAAGTTTACTTCTTTGTATACTATTCTATAGATGGGCTCCAAGGGCTCACTGTTGCCTTGCTATTTTGCTACTTTAATAAGGAAGTACGTCGATTACAGATTTATAAAGAGTAGAGCAAGTTTTTATTTCAATATCGGGTTCATCTTGTTATTAGAATCTACTCAGAGCTATCTCAAAACCAGAAATCAAAAGCTATGATGAATGAGAATTGATTCAAAATAGAGAGCATTTATGATATTTATTAGATGACATACAGGATTTATTACATATTGCATTATTAGTGAAGAGTTTGGATACATTGTCTTACTAGAAATCCCGACTAACAACTTGTAATATTTTTATATTGTGTCTGGAACTTAATTACTGAAGATGGCGTATGAATAATTAATATATTTTCATTTTAAGTAATCTTTAGATGTGACTTATGTGTTTAACATATATTATGATCCTATAATTTTTAATATTTGGAAACAATGTATTGAAATATTTAACGTATTTCATTCAATATTAATTGAATATTTAGTCGAACTTTATCAATTAACTATACTCCCATGACTTCGGCGTGAAAAAATTTTTCTACTCGCCAGTGAGGTTTAATGCTAGTCTTTATATAGTGCAAGCAAGTTCATACTTCTAAACTTTTGTTGTTATATTTTATTTTTATGTATAATAATGATCTTTTAGGTCAAAGAGCAACTACTGTCCACTTACAATCATTTTACCGGAAAAACTGATATCAACAGGAGGAAAACTATGTCGACCAATGCAGACATTATTCCAACAGCAAGAAAATCCATATTGACCACTTTCAATCCAGGTATTTCTGAAAATAACTCGAACAATATACACCATAAAAAGTTGCGTCATTATAAGCAACTTTTAATAGAAATATGCAGCAAAATTTTTTTGTTTTTGTTGTGAATAAACGCGTCTCTCAAAATTTGCATAAAAGGTTATTTCAAAAGCATCTATCGTTCTCTTTTCATCAGCTTATATTAATATTATATTAATGCTCTAGCTTGATTACTAATCTGTTCCACTGATTTTTTACTCAAATCTTTGGTCGGAAGATTTAAGCCAAATTCAAAGAAATGGTCGGAAGATTTAGACTGAATTCAAACTAATAGTCGGAAGATTTTGAACTAAATTTTTAAGCAGTTTATGATAGCAATAATCCATAGATAATGGTGTCTTTGTTATAAAAATATTTTCTTTACTATAAGCTCTCCTCAAAATTTCTTGATAAACATATTTTGTCTCATTTTCAAAACTCGCCAATAACTTAGTTTACTTGTTTAAATTGAATTACGATCTATATGCAGCCTATTTCAGATCTCCGGTTAGTATGCTTCAATAATATATTTATAATACAAATGAATTTTCTAAATAAATATAAAATACATTTTTTTTTATTTCATACATTTCTCTTGTCTTTCAGAATTTTCTAAACAACGCGATAGCTGCAGCAATTCATAGCAAGCTATATTGATAATTATATTGATAATCAATTATATTTATACATTTAGTTATATAAATATAAGTATATATTATTATATAAGAAAATCAAAATATTTCATTCATATCATTATAATAGGACAATTTGGCTCATTGCATGGGTTCAAATATTGCTAGTCATCTTTCGATAAGTTCAAATGATCTTTGAATAATTAATCTAAATATTTGAAGAGATAACTGAAGACATGTTTGTTTTATTAATAATAATGTAAATATGTAATTCTATGACTAAAGTTTATTAGTGTGATGTAAGTATTAAGTAATAAATATATGTAAAAATCTTGTTAGAAAAATGTTTAAATTATTGTTGGATTCGATTTAATACTGAATTCCTGAAATTATAATCAATAGTTCTAGAATAGCTAAAATTATAATATCTAATATCAAATAACCCCAGGTCAAATAACACGGTTTCCATATTACGTAGAGCTGAAGTTGCGATAGCCCTCCGATAACGCGGTACTCCCATAACAAAATTTTCATTCAACAGCCCATATTATGGAACCCCCCTCCCCCTTGGTAATACATGATAATATTCAAAATGATCCTCCTCCCCCACCAAACATCAAGTGTATTTTTGGTTACGTGTTTTTTTTTTGAAAATGTTTAAATTTTTTAAAAAAATCAGTTAAAGAAAATAAACGTAATATTTTACTATACCCCACACAGCCCACACGGTTCCGACGCCACTGTTTACAAGTAATAATGGGCCAAAACCTATTATATAGCAACAGCGAAATTTATATCATCAAGTATTATTACAGTTGATACATAAATTTAGTAAACTCATCTAATAGAACAATATCAATATTTACATTACCAACAAACAAATTGTATCAAAAAATAAATATCGACAAAAACTATGGGCATAAGTTATTTATTTTGTCTGGTAATGACATCGATATGCATAAACATCTTAAGATAATCATTATAAATTTCGGTATATCAACTGCATGAAATTTAATCGATATAAATAAATATAGACCATCGTTTTACCCATGATTGTGAATGTAGAGCGCTTGTTGTCAATAATAAAAACCATAAAATTTCATTAAGTTTCAACATATATGGGAAGTAATGAAAAATTGGTAAATATGGACAAAATGACATAGTGGCCTAATTTAAAAATTGGCTAGTTTTATTAACGTTTTTGCAAAAATATAACAAGAAAAAAATTATAATCACTATCGTGCCAGATGCTGAGCGTCATTGACACAGTTTTTTAAGTTCCAACGTTTATTAAGAAAAGAATAATGTAAAGGTGGTTTTATCATGTTTTTTTTTTGGGATAGTGTGAATTAGTACACTATTACTTATTCCATGTTATTTGTAATCATTTCTGTTATAATCAATGAAGATTAGTGATTTCGATCAATTTTATCGTAATTATGATTCGTTTGATGGAATTTTGATTATTTATGCATTTTTGTTCACTTTTGGACAAAATGACAGAGTATCTACTATTTCGCAAGAACTACAGAGTAGTTCATTCGGAACCAAGAAAAAAGAAAGTTTTAACCTGTCAAAGGTGATTGCTTTTGACTTCTACTCTAACTACTTCTAAAAACAGACCAAAAGATACTAATGGCAAAAACAAGAGACTTTACCGTATATACCATTTATTCCATACTATATAGGTACAATGGTTTTTGTAATTGGTTGCACTTTTTCTTAATAAATATGTTATTATAGTTCTTATTCAATTAAAAATGTAAGTTACTGGTTGTTCGTTATTATGTCAGGTAGAGGAAGATGGATTAATAAAATTTGTGACGCTCGAACATGCCGCAACGATTGAAAAAACACTGGTAGTTATTGAACAAAGCTGAGTAAAAACAATTGATACTGTACAATTGATCAGTAAATAAACAGATATCGTTAATAAACAATTAACGTACTTCCCCTAATTTAAAATATTTCGTACTTCCCCTAATAAAGGAGCAAAAAACATTCAAATAGACTTGCTGAAAATGATGAAACACAAGTAAATTAATTTTGAAATAAAACATTAATTATAAAAAATCTTTTATCTTCATGATACTAATTTATATAATGAACAATTCTAATACAGTCACATTGTATTGCATGAAAGTACCAAAACGAATTCGAATACATTGATAGTAAAGACTAATTATAAGAAATTTACAATGTTGCACATCATTCAAACAAGTCATAAATCTATATCTCTAGTATACATAATATAGTTGTATTATACAGTAGCATAAGAATTCATAATTATCTTAATATTCCTATATCGAGAATCGTGAATAAAAATAGACAATTATTTTTATTTTAAAATATAATAATATAAGTGGCGTTTGAGTTCATGATTGCATATTGAAAGTCATATCTCATATTAATATAAATATTGTATATGAAATATATCCAGATGTTTTCTATGAACATAGCTTAAAATTACTACTCGGGTTTTGAAATAACATTCAGCTAGAAAATATGTTTAGCAAATGTTAAATTAATTTATTAACTATTCCCTACAACTGATTTAGAGTTAATTTCAACCGATCTATATGCGAATACATTTAACTCACTCGGTGACAAACTATAGATATCGTATGTCCCAATTTAAAAATAACAGAAAAATTTATTTTATTTATTTGTACCAACAAAACACAATGGTAATGTTAAAAGTCTTCATCAACACAAAACAACCGTTTCGGGCAGATGTCCTTTCTCTGAATAATTTGTTAATTGGTTTAGATCATTCGATTTAGAAAAAATAATAGTAAATATTTATTTTACTTTAATAATAGTTAATATTTTTTTAATTTTGACTTTTTAACCAGGTGACTTGCGATCTTTAAAGAATTTCCATGAAAATATCAATGAGAAGATATCGCATTAAATAATTAAAATTTATAAAAAAAATAATTTTTGTGTAATTAAATTTAGGAGTTAATATCATATCTGTAAAATAATCTGTTTCTTCAATACAGAAATGAAAAAGTAATATCTACAATAATTTTTGATTGGGTTTTAAGTGAGATATAAAATAGTAAATGAATTAGAAAATGTCGTCTTCCTTTATATTAAACAGAGCTGTTAAAAGCAATTGAATGTCTAAATTCAATTACATAATAAATTAATCCAATGCTCCAATACTCAAATTGGTGTACAAGACAAACAGAAATGTATTCTTTTGATATTAAGCAGTTTATAATTAACAAAATCATGAAAATTTGAAGTTAAAAAATCGATTATTTTTTTCCTTGACAAATATTTCGAAACCAATTACTGGTTAAACTTGATCTATTCTAATGTCTACTGAATTTTTTGTTATATAAACGCTATTTAAAAAACTACCAATTTTTCAATAACACTATGAACCTATGTGCAGGCAATCACGTTGTGAATATTTTTAATAAATTTAAATTAACAGTTTTAAGCTGTTTTTTTTAATTAAAAGGTATTTTGATGCCATATCGTAAACGTGATTACATGAATTACACTATGCGATATAAGTAACCACTAATTTTATATGCACAAAACAGCTTTGAGTTCTTATTATATATTAAACATTATTTATGTTTGTTATTTACATAATTGATGTTATGTAACAATCAATTTACTTTATATGTTAGTTATACAGAAATACAAAGTGTTCTAGATTTAGCTAATATTGATATGTTGTGAAAAAATCAATGCTTGTCTACGGGAAATTCAAATCATTAGGAAACATACAAATTATAAGAGGTACAAGTTACATTTAATACGACTTTTTATATAAATATATATAATAAATATATATATATATATATATATATATATATATATATATATATAGTCATTCAATTTGAAATTTCAGTTAATCAAATAAGCAGAAGGATGTGAATATTCAAAAATATTTCTGACAATATAGTTCAAGATTGATTTTAGTTTGTCTACATTTATAATTTTGAACTACACTTTTGATGAGAAAGCAAAATATATACATGTTATCAAGAGTAATACAACAGGCGCGCACATATTGAAAATAGAGCGTTATAATTTTCTTAAAATTACCTATGATACATTTATAATTGAATTAATTTATTCATCACAAATTGCTTGACGTTGTGCAACTGAAAACGTTGCAATTCTTAATGGCCCTTTGACACTTCGAAGAAATTGAAATTTTCATGTGTCGGCAAAATTATTACTAAAAAAACACCTGCCCATAAAATAAAAGCACATTTTACGTTAAATATCAAAAGATATGTCTTCGAGAATAATAATAAAAACATAGTTCCATTTATTATTTAATACTTCGATTTTGAGACTTGATCCTGAGACTGTGATATTTTTAATATTTATTTTATTTATTTATTTATTAAAATAGCAATCAAGATACAATTAAATCTTATAAGCTATTGTAACACAAACGAAAGGAATCGAAAGAAAATAATAATAATAATAATATTAGAAGAAAAGAAAAAGAAGTAATAATCTAGAGTTCACTCCAATAAGTGAAGCCTAGTGTTTCATTTAATTTTTAATATTCACTGACAAAA